GTGAAGGACACATTGCCACTAGTTATGGGATTTCCGGCTCTTTTTAGAGAACCGGCTCTTTCGGCTCGACTCACTAAAAAGAGCCGGTTCTTTCGGCTCCCAACCGGCTCTTCAGGTTGTTTTGTTGCTTTAATTAATTTATTATTAACAACAATATAAAATTATGCACAGAAATGGGCTTCGTCCAAAGGGTGGCTACAATAACAATAAGTTACAAAGTACTCACATTTCACATTTACTGTCAAAGTCTCCTCTTTAGTTTTTCCACATGTGAAGTTGATCTTGCAAGTGATACTGGTGTTGTGGTGTTCAGATGAAGCGTTAAAGGTCAAAGTTGAGATGTGTCTTTGTGTGAAAGCCGCCAGATTCTCAGTCTTGAAATCAGTGCTGTTTCCTGTAATGTAAGATTCAGTCCCTCCTGCTCCTCTCCATGTCCAGGTGATTTCAGGAACAGATCGAGAGCAGAGACCAGGAGCAACACAGGTCAGTGTGGCCTGCTGTCCCTCTGTCAGTATGAGAATCATTACTCTGGGCTTCAGATTAATGCCTAATGGAAATAAATTGTATTTATAGAAACACATCAACTATCTGAAGTTCATCTAGTATGTCAATCTGTTTTTTTCAAATAAGATATTTAATGAAAATGGTTAATGGCAATCACAAGTTTTAACAGGAAATGCTGCAGTTCCTACCAGCTACCACAGAGGTCAATAATTCCCACAAAATAATGAATACTTCATTAAGGCCTTAAAAATACTAAATATGTTATTGTACATGAACAAATATCTTCTTTTTCAACATGATTGTCCTTGAAATAGCTTTTCTCACCTATAACAGAGACAGTTACTCTTGGAATGAATGTGAATCCATCTTGTTGTCCATTCAGTTCTCCAGTAACTCTGAGCTGATATGATCCAGAATCAGACTCTTTGAGATCACTGATGATGATGCTGCAGTTGTTCTGAATGACATGCTCGATAAGTGACACTCGTCCTTCAAACTCAGGTTGAACATCAGTGAGAATGAAAATCCATCAGGTTTTCCATTCAGTTCACCAATAACTCTGAGGTGATATGATCCAGAATCTGACTGTTTTAGCATATTAATGAAGATGCTGCAGTTGTTCTGGCTCAGCTCAGGCTCCAAAAAGGACACTCGTGCTTTAAACCCAGACTGAACTTTAATGCAGTTGTTGGTGTGAAATATCATGACAGGATGATCACATCCTGCTTCTGATTCTTCACATTTATACCACACTATATTTTGGGTTTCAAAGCCTTCAGCAGTCTTGAAAGAACACGGGATCACAACTCAGAGTCCAGCCTCTGCTATCAGCTTTCTCACATTAAGAGTGACGCAGTATTCTCTGTCACAGTGTGGATTTCTCATTTCTGAATCACCTGCAAATGTAAAGGAGGAGATAAAATAAACAGACTTTAGTTTTAGGCAAGCAAAGATGAATTTGTTTCTTGAGACTGCATTGGCCTTTGCTGTTTTTTATGTTTTGTTTGCAATCTGTTTGCAAGTTGTTGTTTTTTTACATTAGCATTTACTGTGTGTGCACAATTCTTTTTTAATGACACCACGAGTCAACAGATAAGAAGAAATATTTATTACCTGGATGCATGTCCAAAAAAACAGTGTTACATTCAAATGTTGGAAAAGTATTTATTATATGCAGAATTATAAAATTGTAAACAAGATACAAACCTGTGTCAGCATCACTGCCCGTCACAGAGAAAAGCACAGCTGACCAGATCAGAACCAACATCTTGATTTGAACCTTGGCACATTCAGTTTCTCCATGCACAGACAAACATACAGCATATGAAGTAAATGTCCAGAAATGTCTCTAAAGGATGTCACATGCTCACTTATTTCACAGTGCATAATGAATGCACTGAGTCGGAGCACTGAGTCGGCTCCTACTTTTATCAACAGTGAAAGACGTTTGGAAACAGTGTTCCTTAAGAGTTTTAAAAGACATTTTGAATATATTTTACACATTTTTTTTTTTACCTCAGTGTATTTGCTGTTTATCAGTCTTCTCTGCACAATGATCTCTGCTGACTTTTTAATCTCAGTTTTCACTTCCTCATCTCTATTTCTTCCTCATTCCTCAATTCTTCTCAGACACTATTGATTTTTACAAACTGGCTTTCATAAATATAGCATCTTCTGTTACACTAAATATTTTATATATGTTCATCATTATTATTTATTTATTTATTTTTGGTAAAAACCAGTATCTTAACTTGAGAATTTGACACACCAGCAGAAGTACTTAATTCAGTTTTTCATGAGACATTTCGCTCATTTTTACGTCACTTCAACATAGTACAACACGTACAGCAATAAACAAGCTTTGTTAATGGCTGCATGTATTAAAATTAAAAAGTCACATTAGAAAGGATTCTTGAGGCACATTGAAGACATTAAACAGCTTAAAGGACTTAAAAAAAACTCTCACAGCATTTCCGTTTTTCAGCCACATACAGCCTCTCTGCAACACTTCTGCATGTTTAGATTTTTTTCTTTATCTATTTCTATTCTGTGGTATCTTTACTATTCTTACTAAGGCACTGTTGTGCCTTCTGTCTCTATGGAAACCTCTCGTTTGCAGTCTACTTGAGTTGCAACATTGTGTGGTGTGTGGTGCTTTAACTCTTACTTCAGTGAACAAATACTTAAATTTTCAGGTCTTCTATAAGCCTCCATATTTTGCATCAGTCTTTCTCTTTTTTCTCTCTTTTTTTAGTGTCTTTTATTTTTCAGGTCTAGCAAACTCCAATTTCTCATAAACCGTATGAATCAAAAAACAGCAGGCAGGCAGGTGAGTTTCCCATAAGTTTTTTTTTTCAAAGAGAATCCCAAAACCTGACTGCTGTTGAGGTGCTAGTACAGCACTTAGACTCCAGAAGGAATCATGGGTTTCTAAGGCAGTGTGGGAGGAATGGCAGGAAGCTAACTAGGAAGTAAACCAGACACAATAATAACTGAATGTAACTATCAAAAACCAAATTTATACAAGGTTGACTAATTTACCACAGATCAGACAGAGATGCTCATGTCTGAAGGCGACATTAACACCCAAAACATTCTGACATGGAAACATTCTTCAGCATATCTGTGTTATAAGCATGATTCAAATAACTTCAGACCTGGATTTACTGATTCCTGGTTATGGCCAGTTCAGTAAGTTGAGACAGATTCTTTAAGACTGGGCAGTCTGTCAGATTAACAAATGATCTGATGTCTTTGATGGGGAGGGTAGAATGACACCTTCTAGAAAGAGAGAACTGTCCTAACAGAATGCAACAAGGCTCCCTCAATCTGCCGAGACCATAGAAAGAAAAATCTTTTTACAGGCTGTCCTGTATGAGTTTCTGTAGTAATCCTAGGGTAATGTGTTAGGAATGAAAGGACGCCACATCAGTTGATGGAAATGAAAATTTTTAACTTACGGAGGGTTGAATTCACAGACACCCGAAAATCAAAGTGAAAAAATTATGCAACAGGCTAATCTGACAAAATTTCATTAGAGCAACTTGATTGATTGATTGATTGAATCTTTATTTTGAACATGTTAAAAAAGTACAACAACATAGAAT